TCTCTTCTTTCTCCTCTCTCCTTCCTTCCTTCCTTTCCCTTTCCCCTCCCTCCTCCTCCTCCTCCTCCTCCTCCTCCTCCTCACCTTGTGTTCCCGCATGACGGCGGTATGCAGAGTGGGGTCGATGATTCTCAGGAGGGACATGAGAGGTACAGGAAGGAAATTTTCTTCCTCTGTTGTCCCCATCCTCCCGCACGCAGGACAGCTGTCCTCCCCTTGTTGCTCATCAGAACTGTCTCCTCCCTTCCTCTCCTCACCTAGCAGCTTCAAGGCAGAGCTCGCGTCCTTGGGGAGGGGGGGGAGGTGAGTGGCGACGCTGGGAGTGAGAGGGCGAGCAAGGGAGGGAGGCTGGGAGGATACGGACTCGGAGAACTGCAAGACCGAGCACCAGAGGAACCAGAGCTGAGAGAAGGTTAGGAGAGGAGACAACTAGAAGGTAGGAGGGGGAGGAAGGAGGAAGGATGAAGGAGCAAGGAGCAAGGAGGAATTGAGGAGGGGGGGATGGAAGAGGGAAGGAAGAGATAGGACGGAGGAGGAAAGCAAGGAAGAAAGGAAGATGAAGTCTAAAGCAGGAGGAAGGGGGAAGAAAGAGACAGGAGGGAGGAAATCAAAGGAGGAAGAAGGCAATAGAGAGTTTGGAGGAGGAGGAGACTAGGTAAGAGGAGAAGAACCTTGCCATCTTTGCCAAGTTTGAAATACAAGATGCCTCTCCTTAGCTTCTTCGACTTCGGGAGCTGCTAAAAGTCAAACCTCGTCCCCGTCCTCGTCCCCGTCCTCGTCCCCGTCCTCGTCCCCGTCCTCGTCCTCGTCCCCGTCCTCCTTTCATTACTGATCCTATCTTTGCTGCCCCTGCCTTTCCTTCCTCCCCCTCCCCCTCCCCTCTCCCCCTCCATTTCCTCGTCCTCCTCCTCCTCTCAAGACGGACCTGTTTTGTCACGCAAGATAGAAGAGAGTTGACGGTGTCCGAAATCTCGTCTCTTAGATCCTACGATGAAGTAAGAAGAGGGGAGAGGAGAGGAGAG